TTAATATGTTTATTAAGTATTACTTAAAGCTTAAAGTAAAGTTTAAGTGTAAATATAACTATAAAAAAGCTTTTTATAAAAATTTTATAGTAATTTAAAGCTAGTTTAACTTTATAAAGAATATTAAAGCTAAGTATAGTATTTAAAATAACAACATATATAACTTTAATAAAATAAGGTTTATAATAAGCTAAATATCTACTAAAGCAGTTATTATAAGTTTAAAGAGATAAAAATAGCTAAAAGCAGTCTAGCTAAGTAACTAAAAGTAAATAATAGCTATTTAAAGCATTAATACTAAAAAGTAAGCTATTTTACTTTTTATTATCTTTTAAAGTAGTAACTACTTTTTAAACTAGTATAAAAAAAAATCTACTTTAAAATTAAGTTATTATAATTTTTAAGTGTAGCTAAACTACTAATTAGCTTAGTCTAGACTAGTTAAAGCACTTTAATGTGTATATAAAAAAGTGTACTATTAGCAGCTACTATTTACTAGTTATTAATAGCTATAAAAGCTATAACTTACTTTATTTTTAGTAATATTATAAAAATAATAAGATTATTACTATTTATATACTTTTTTACTTATTACACTTTTTATAGCTACTTAATATAAGTTGTTTTACTTCTTTAAAGAAAGTGTATAAGTACTAAGCTAAAAACTTTATGCATAACTAAATTACTTATATTATAAAAATAAAGTTCTTACTATGCTTTAAAGTAGCTTATAATGCTATAATTACTTTTAGTAATATTTAAGAAAAGTTCTAAGGCGCTAGATTAATTCCTTTTAACCTATAATAAGTTATAATAGGCCTTAATATAAAGTTGCGCACTCTATTACTACTACTACCTATATATAATAAGCTCTAGTAGTTGTAAACTTTAAGTAATACTTTAAAACTTAAGTTATAATTAATGCTTATAAAAATAAAAATTTAAAAGTATATAAATAGTTTACTAACTTTTATAGTTAAGGCGTTTAAAAAGGTCTTAAAAAAGGCAGTAATAATTATATATAAGCTAGTGTTAGTGTAACAGGAAATTACTAAGCTTTAAGTAGCTAATAAGGCTACTATATAACATAAATTACATAAAAAAAAGCAGATTAAGGTAGAAAAAACCTTAATAATTTAGAAAAGCCTACACTTAACAGCTCTAAAGAAGTTTAGAGCGCGCAGTAATAAAAAGAAGGCAAAGAAGTAGGTGTAAGCTAAAGTAGGTAAGCTATTCTAAAGGCGCTATAGATAGTGCAATTAGACTAGGCATAACACGCAAACATGTAAGTAAAAAGCAGAAGTAGTATCTAAATAATATTCTAGGCTGTACTGTACTATATAGTGCTAGAGCGGGTTGTTATAGGCTATAATAGAGTTTGTTAGGGTGGGGTCTTGGCAAAAGTAAGCGACTTGGGTGTGTAAGCGACTCGCCTATGAAGTACGTTATTTATTAAAGGTTTTTTAAGATGTTATTATAGCAGTATTAGTTTTTTATACTAAAAACTACTAGTTACTTAGTAATTAGCTTGTAAGCTTTTAGTCTTATTTTTTTTTTTTTTTTTTACCTTTATTAAGAGTTTAAGGTAGAGTAGAACTGTTTTTTTTTTAAGTTAAAGTATTTTTAGAGCTAGCCTAAAATGTTATTAAAGCTTACTTAAAGTAAGTAGTAGTTTTAGTGTTATATATAGCGCGCTTAAACTCTAGCTAAGTGTTTATAAACTTAAGAAAGCTATTACACTACATTTTTTTTTAGATAAATTTTAAAAAGTAGCTTTATATAAAAGTAATTTTAATCTTATAAAGTTTCTTTTTATTAGAGGTTTAAAAACAAGTGTGTTTTAAAAAGCTTTTTTACTAAAATAGCTAGATAATAAAAGTGTTAAATATATTACTTACTTTTTACTTTATATTCTAACAGTACTAGTAGTTTTTACACTATATTAAAAAAGAATTTTAAGTAAGCTTATATACTTTAGTTTAAAGCTAAGCCTAAGTTTTAATAGTGCCTTTATTAATAGTGTAACTAATTAAGTTTTTATAAACTTTAAACTAAATCTAGTTAATAATTTATTAAGTTTAAGTAGTAAAGTTGTCTAAAAGGTCTACATATTCTTAGATACTATTTATATCTCTTGCTTAAGTATTTACTTACTATAAAGCTAGAGACTTTTTTAAAAAGCTAAGCTTTAAAAAGGCTTTAATCTTAAATAGCTAACTTAAAGTTTTATTTAGGCTAGCTTAGAATTAGAGTTAATTTAAAGTAGTTTTAAAATATAAGCTAAAAGTTATAAAATTAATTTAAGTTTATTTATAAGCTTAACTAATTTTAGCTTTTAATGCGTTTTTAGCCTTAAGCTAAAAAGCTTTTATAAAAAGTAACTATATAAACGCTTTATTAGTTAAGAGTTGACTAGAACAGTAGTAGAACTAGTTTAAGCCTGCTTTAGAAGAGTACTATAGCGTATTGCGTTTGCCTCTATTGCTAATAGTTACTATAAGTAGTTTATAAAAAGCTAACTAGTAGTTTTTAAAGTCTTATAACTTAAAAAGTTTTTAAGTTTAGTTTAACTATGTCTTTAAAAGTTTTTAAAGTCTTCTTTATTTTTTAACTTAAAGACTTAGTGTTTTGTATTTTTTACCTCTTATACTTGTAACGGCACAGGCAAGACAATGGGTCCGAATGCGGTGGGAATCCACTCAGAGGCATATGGGAGTGCGTGGGGACTCAGAACCTGGGAATACCATTAACACCTATAGGCCTTGTACAAAAGGATATTAGAAAACTACTAAGCTAGCTATAGAGGCAAGGTGCAACTAAATACATAAGGGAATAGGGGTAACAGCAGGGGTTGGGGCCAGGTCAAGGTTAGGGCTGATACAGGGGCCTTCTAGAGGTTCTAGGAGGATACAAGATGGAACAATTCCTAAGAATTATTACACTACCCCCCCCTCTATAAACTAATAGTCCCTATTAGTAGTAATTATAGTACAAAGTATTGCTGTTATGTCCTCTGCCTTCTTAAACTAAAAATAGTCTAATTTAGCTAAGTGTCCTTGCTAAGTATTCCTTTGCACTACTAGTAGTGTCCTCTAAACTAAACGCCACGCATGCAGTTATTAATTATTAGGGTAGCAGGTGTAGTTTGTTAATTAGAGCTAATTTAAATAGGATAACAAGGTCTTTCCTATAGGTCCTCTTTTCTACATTGTACGCTATAAGGTAGGCTATTATAGCTTTAAAGAAGTTTGCCTAGGTATGTTTAAAACTATAATTTAGTACCTATAGGCTAGGGGGAAGCTTCTTCTATAGGTAGAAAGACTAATCTAACTAGGATACTCTTCCCTTAATAGCTGCACTAATAAAGCGCGCTTTAAATGTAGAGAACACTTCTTCTTTATCTATTCTAAGAGTTTAGAATGCTTGTTGTGCTTTAGTCTTTTTCTAACTAGTAATAAAATAAGCTTATAAGAGCTTTATTATATCCTCTACACTTTTAAACTAAAACTAGTTTAATTTAGCTAGGTATCCTAGCTCTAGATAATCCTTCGCGATACTAGCTGTATGTCTCTATATTAATGCCATGTGTGCGCGCTTACTCTAATAGTAATCTAAATTAATGTTAAGTTTGTCTATAATAAAGGCTTACTATTATTTAAACATAGGTTCTTTGCTATCTGTAAGGATCTTAATCTTAGGCGTATGTTTAGTAAGGTAGATTTGCTAGGTCTAAGAGGTGCCTAAAAGGTCTCTTACACTTAAGGTAGCAAAGGTAGTACAGGGCGTTATTAGAGGTAATTTAGTAGCTAGCAGGGGTTAACTAGCAGTTTTTAGCTAGATTAGCTGCTTAAGCTATGCTTATAATTAAGTAATCTAATTATTAATAGATATACTGCTAGGGGTTAACTCTAAATTAGGTAGGGGTATAGCTTAGCTAGAGCGTATTTTGATTCTAGAATTTAAGGGTAGTTAGTTAGACATTAGCAGTTGCCTCTAATTCTAATAGGTTATTAGTAGTCTCTAAGTTTCTACCTTAGCGCCTTTATGCAACTTTTTTAAAGGCAATCTTAATTACAGGGGATAGAAAGTTCTAAACCTAAAGGCTTTAGTTAACTAGAGGTTAATAGGATCTAGTCTATAGACTAAGTAATTTAATATAACAGTGTAGAGAATTGCAACCTAAACTAAATTAGACGCGTCTTAGAGCTTAGACGTAGTTAAACAAACAATTAGTGCAATATTATATAAGGCTGTTACTAGCAAAAGTAAGTTTTCTAATATAATGTAACAGCACAGGCAAGACAATAGGTCTAAATGCGGTAGGAATCCACTTAGAGGCATATAGGAGTGCGTGGGGACTCAGAACCTGGGAATACCATTAACACCTATAGGCCTTGTACGAAAGGATATCAGAAAACTACTAAGCTAGCTACAGGGGCGAGGTGCGACTAAATACATGAGGGAATAGGGGTAACAGCAGGGGTCGGGGCCAGGTCGAGGTCGGGGCCGATACGGGGGCCTTTCGGAGGTTCCGGGAGGATACGAGATGGAACGATTCCTGAGAATCGTTACAATACTTACTAATTTAGTAGAATTTAGCTAAGGCGCTAGAATGTAAGGTGCTTAAGAAGTTAAGCACTAGAGTTATTATAAGGCGTCTCTAGGACAGCCTTAGAAGGGGTAGTAGCTGTGGCCCTACTTTTGCGTGTGCAACTACTACTAGCTATTATTATTACAGCTTTTTAATTAAGGTAGAGCTTAAGAAGTAGTAGTAGAAGTAGCCTTTTATTTTTTAAACTAACTGTGTCTTTGTAAGAGAGTATAAAGGATTTAAATTATAAAAGCACTGTAAAGCAGAAAGCATAAAGCGCAGATAGAGGTACAGGATAGTATTAATAGACAAATCCTTAAGGAGACTCAGGGGTTTGTGAGAGGATATATATATGTGCTAGGGCACGTGACAGGACGTCATGTGCCCAAGGCCGGGCCGAGGGCTCTCCGGGGAGAGTCCGAGGCATGTCCAAGTTAACCGTGACAAACTCCCACTTAGTCTTTTAACCCATCTAGATATATCAGTAATCGTTTCTTAATCACAAAGCCAACCAATCGCCCACTACCTTCTTCAGTGACACAAAGGTATCGAATGCCGAGTTTACCGAATATCTCGACAGCATACTCCATGGGTGCGGTATTGGTGATCGTTATCGGAGTTCGATCGACGAAGTTGCTGAGGTCATACTCACCCTCATCGACATCTCCAAAGAGTCGAACCTCTTTATCTTCACCAAATGCCTTCCCAAACTCATTGAGGCCATATTCGAGTTCAGGTTCTGCGATATAGCCTTGTAGTACGCCTTTTTGCGTCAGTACAATTCCGCCATCCATCAGGCCGCGCCGATGGAGGTAGTTGAGATGCTCTTTGAGGACCTTTTGAGGTACCTTGTTGTTACTCGGGACTTCTATTGTGAGCTCCGCCATAGTAGATGCTGGTGGCAGTATAGCCTGAACTGTAGCGGAAGGCTCGTGCTGGATAAGGCGAAGTGCATGTTCCGTGTCCAGGAAGGGGTGCCCAAGGACGGATTGTGCGAGATCGTACACTGATTCCTTGCTGATAGCATCTGCTGTCCATTTTGCTACAAGAATGGCAATCATGTGAGGAAGGGAGTATTCAAGCTCTCCCGTAAGCTGAATGTATCTTGATTAGTAAGAATACTAATGTTTGCTGGAGATCTTACCTCGAACATGATCACACAAAGTGAGATGGTCATCCTTCCGACACCAGCTAAGAATGCCCCAGCTCCAACCATGGCAAAAATACCAGGTGAGATAGTCGTAACCCATTGGCCGACCAGCCGACCAAACAGGGCGCCGCCGACGAGAGCAGGAATAATAATACCTGCTGGAACCTTAAGACCGAATGTGATCGTGGTCGAGGCTAGTTGTCCTAGAGTTCCATATGCAAGCCATGCAATGTAATCCCAGCGCCCGTCGGTTCTAGCCTCGTTCCGGCAGACCCAAGTGTCCTTCTTGGTAGCGCAATTCACAAGCAGATTCTTAATAATTTCAACTCCAGGTGCTCGAGTGACGGGGTTTGGAAATTGGAGAGCTGCTGTCACCATAATAACGAAGAAGACCTCCAGTACTGGACGGCCTTTGATAAGTCGGATACTTGGAACTGTCAGTACTCTCTGCTCAGAGCAAACAGTTAACTAGGAACGTACTTTCTGAACCACCTTGCCCACAGGAGATTGGCCATCGTAAAAGTTCCGCCCCATAAGCCGCCAGAAATGCCTAGGATGATAAATGTAAAGTAGTGCTCAGGCCGATATGATGTTCCGTAATTAGTCTCAAAAAGTATAACCTTTCCAGTGCCATGCGGGTTAAGGGCTTTTAGGGTAATTGCTGCTACCATTGAGCATAAGAAAGTTCTCCATAGTACCTTTCGAGGGAAGTGAACGCATATTTCCTGACCGATGATTAGTATGGTAAATGCTGTGAAATTATGCCAAATTTACCTCATAAGCAAACAGCACACCACCAATAGGAGCACCAAAAGCAGAGCTCAGCCCTGCAGCACACGCGGCAGACAAGATCTCTCGCCACTTTCCAGCATTTTCTCTGTACTTCTCAAATCGATTCGCAACTTGTTGACCAACACAAGCTGCAATATGGATGAATGGACCTTCCTTGCCCAGTGACATCCCAGTAGCCACCGCAAATACGGCCCCGATTGCTTTCAGTACTAGAATCCTGAAGTCTAAATAATGTGGAATAACGAAGCCGCTCAAGATTGTCTTGATCTCAGGGATACCTGATCCAGCAGACATATACAGAGACTTGCCTTGGCCATACCTGTTATAGTTGGAATTGGAATTAGAGTGACTGTACCCGTTGGGGTTCTTGGCCTCTGGGCCAACCGCAGGAAGCACTGTCTTCGAGAACATAGTCACACCGGAACTGATAATTCCAAACAGCACAGCCCAACCAACATATATTCCGAATTGTGGCCAGTAACGGTCGCTCCACAACGTAAACCTATCACAATTTATCCCCTCCTTATGGACATATTCGCAGCATGCTTCCCTGCTGACGAGGGGGTTTCCAGCACAGTATCCGTACTTTAGACCAGCAACTGTGGCGACGGACATGTCAATACTGACGGCCACAAAAGCCATGATTATTCCGATCAAAGACACGGCGATCCAGCCTGAGCAGGCGTCGACGTGCTGATTGATCGAGGCGCGGGTACCGTGACGGAGGTGGAGCGCGCGGAATCGATATGAGTCCTTGACCTGGAGGTGCCCTAGTTAGCCAACGGATCTTAGCACTGATAAGACCCTGTACCAGACAATGGAGCCAGTCAATGGTGCTGTAATCGTTGTACGAGAGCCTTTCTCCAATCGACGTGTGGCCCAATTCCACTTCCTCTCTCGATCGGACCGACTGGCCTTCTTCATCATGAGGGATGAGGAGGGACGTATGCTCGTTTGGCTCGCTCATTGTCGTAGGTTTGGGGTTCAGGAGGTTCGGCTCGCTGCTGTTACGCTCTCGAAGGAATTCAGTCGTCAGCGGAGGTGCGTCATAGATGCGATTAGTCTGAAGTTCTCAAGGGAAGCTCCATATCTAGAGCAGTCCCACTGCACGTTGCTTTTGTAGATGGTGTATCTTGAGGCTGGAGATCTGGGGAAACACAAGTCTTTGATGCAGCCCCCCCCGCGCGATAGGCGAAAATACGAACGCCGCAGTTTCGTCGAGATAACAGTCACCACGAACCATGATCGCAATTGGCGGCAAGAAATACAGAAATCAAGAGACAGGAACCCTTTCCTATCACAGAGCATTGAAATGAGTTTGAGGCCCTCGTGAATGGAGTTCTGCCAGGTTCGTCTTGCTATCGACGAACAGGTATTAGCCTTCCTTTTCAGAAGCTTGGATGACATAATCAGACGTCTCGCTTAGCGCACAGGCCAGCATCTAATATACGTCCACCAATCGCCTCTCTCCCTTCTTTCCTTCACTATTAAACTATTTAACCGGCAACTTCTAGTTAACAATAAGTAACAGTAAGTATATATAACTAGTCTAATGCTAGCAGATAAGAATACATAAGTAATATTAGACAGTAAACAGACTTAATACTCTTAGCCTAAGTATTAGTAATTTTAATATTAAAGAAACTAAAAAAGCTAAGTTTAGTAAAGTAACTACTAAATTCTAATAATAATCTAGCTGCATGCTATAAGATTATCCTAGATGCTAGTATTTTTAAGCGCTTTAATCTATGTACACTAGATTTACTAGTAGAAAACTTTTAAAACTAGTAACCTGTTACAATCCTAACTTGTAGGTGCAAGTACGCGGGCCTAATAGGTTTGTTAGAGGGTGAGCGGCGCGGAGCTTCCAGATGTACAGTCTGGTCGCGGGCAGTAGGTATGCGGGGGAGTAGGGATAAGATAGGCCTAATTGTAGTTTACTCTTAGACAGTAGTATAGAGTGTAGAGTTAAACAGTTTTTGTTAAACAGGAGAGAAGGTATATATAGTGTAAGATATACAACTAGTATTGCAGCTCTTTATAAAGCTAGAATGCTACTTAGTCTATATAAAGATAAACTTAAACATTAATTACACCTTTTTAAAAGTTAACTTGTAGCTAGTCTATATAATAACTAGCAACTTATAGAATTGTACTATAGACTGTAAGAGCGTACAGCATCCTAGTACTACCTCTTACAAGTTGCTGCATGTTCCTTCTAGAGTCTCTATTAGACAAGGCATTCGCCTAGCAGCTAGTCTACTTATTCTAGGCTTTATTTATCTAAGCCTATTACTTTCTTCTATTCTAGTATAAACAGGTTCTACTCTTGTTTATTTAGAGAGTAGAGTACTTTAAAGGAATCTCTGTTAGTCTAACTGTAAACTGCGTAGTGCAGTAGAGACGTAATATGTAGACTTCTTGTTACGACCCACGATTAGACTGTAAGCAACTAGTTAGTTGTGCCCCACTGTTTGAACAATCAAGGATGGAAAGTCCTTGATTCCCTGCCCGACAGGTCACGTGACCTAACGGGCGAGGAATGGACCAAGCTCCTGGACCAATGCGCAGCAGAGTACGTTGTCTAATAGGAAGGGGACGGTTGCATGCTAATGCACGCAAACGCGCGCGAGGCGTACTGTAGAATGTCGCATGCAACAACTCGCAACAACATGCAAGTGCATGCAACCCTATGTATATAGTTTAAGATCTTAACTTTATTTAAAAGCTATAATTAATAGTTAGTTTATTCTTTACATAGACTAAGTAGTATTACTACTTTTTAATAATAAGTAATCTAATTATATATCTTACACTATATATACCTCCTCTCTTGTTCTACTCTAGAACTGTTTAACCTAAGCGCCTTATACTGCTGTTGTAGAGCAAACCACAGTTAGCTACCCCTCTTAGTCCTAGTAACCACACCTTAACAGACTGTACACCTGTATAAAGGCTAAGTTCTCTTCTTTCCGCCCTTCTAATTATCTCCCTAGGCCTAGAGTACTTTAGACACCATTTCTTTAAAGTTAAGATTATAACATTAATTACTACCCCTTAATAAAGTATAAATTCTTACATTACTACTACTAACTAGAGAATAATTAGCGCCTTACTAGCAGGCACTAGCTAGATTGTAACCTTAAATAAAAAAGTGTTAACGTACCTAACAGGTTAGCCGGCCACACAGGTTAGCCGGCTACTTTTGCTAAGCCCCTACTAAAACTACTCTATTCTAGCGCAAAACAGCCTACTTTAGCCCTGTATAAAGTAATATAACATAAGATATTATTTAAAGTCTACTTCTACTACTTTTTTACATATACGCAAGTTATGCCTAGTCTAATTACACTACTTATATTGCCTTTAACTTAGCTTACTTTCTTTAGCACATACTTATGTCTTTAGCTTCTTTCTATTACTATGCGCTCTAAACTCCCTTAGAGTAGTTAGATAAACTTTATTTTTAACTATTAAAGTCTTTTTTACTTAAATCTGCTTTTTTTTATGTAATTTATGTTATGTAGCAGCCTTATTTACTGCTTAAAGCTTTATAATCTTTTTTTTTGCTAATACTAGATTATGTGTAATAATTACTACCCTTTTTAAACCCTTTTTAAAGGCCTTTACTATAGACATTAGTAAGCTATCTATATCTTTTTAAATTTTTACTTTTATAAACATTAATTATAACTTAAATTTAAAAGTATTACTTAAGGTTTACAACTACTAGGGCTTATTATTAATAAGTAGTAGTAGTAATAAAGTATATAACTAGATATTAAAAGCTATTTTAACTTATTTTAAGTTAAATAAGACTAAACTAGAGCCTTAAAACCCTTTTTAAATATTACTAGAAGAAATTACTATATTATAGGTGTGTATAAAGCATAGTAGAAACTTAAGTTTTATAATATAAGTAATTTAGTTATGCATAAGATTTTTAGCTTAGCGCTTATATACTTTCTTTAAAAAGGTAAAACAACCTACATTAAAAGGCTATAAAAGGTGCAATAAGTATAAAAGTATATAAATAGTAATAATCTTATTCTTTTTATAGTGCTACTAGAAATTAAGTAAGTTATAGCTTTTATAGCTATTAATAATAAAAGGCTAATAAGCGCTTATAACTCTTTTTTTATATGCTTATAAAAGTGCTTTAACTACTATAGCTTAAGCTTATTTATTATTTAGCTATTTTTAAAAACTATAATAACCTAGTTCTAAAGCAAATTCATTTTTTATACTAAGTTAAAAAGTAATAATAGCTTTTAAAGATAATAAAAAGTAAAATAGCCTACTTTATTATATTAATGCTTTAGATAACTGTTGTCTACTTTTTATTACTTTACTATATTACTTTTAGCTATTTTTATTTTTTTAAAGCTATAATAACTACTCTAGTTAATATTTAGCTTATTATAAAGCTTAACTTTTTAAAGTTATACATTTTTTTATTCTAAATACTATACTTAGCTTTTATATTAGCTACTAAGTAAAACTAGCTTTAAATAACTTTTAGATTTTTATAAAGCGCTTTTTTATAATTATACTTATAATTAAACTTTATTATAAACTTAGAGCAGTGCTTAACCTACATACTAGGCTAGTTTAAGCTAACCTAGCCTAGATTACACTTTACGCGCAAGAAATTAGCTATATTAGCTATAGCTATAAGCCTAAAAGAAAATCTGCGCGTAATAAGCTTAAGTATATACTTAATAACTACTTTTTTTTAAGCTTAGTTAGATTTCTTAATTTAAGCTAGTATTTTACTTATATAGGCTATCTAGCGCGTTAATTACTTAGTGTTGTGTAAGAGACATTATAAATAGCTATAGCGTGTTATAAGAAAAGTTTTAAGTCTTATTTAAAAGCTTAAAAAGTAAGCTATATCTAATGTTCTTTAGAAGATTTAATCTAGTGTTGTTGTTAAGGCATTATGTAGATAGGTAGAGTGTGGTAGGGGCTTGGCAAAAGTAGCTGGCTAACCTGTGTGGCTAGCCAACCCGTTAGGTACGTTAACTAAATAGCTAAATAATAAAATACTACAATAGTTTATAAATAATCTGTAAAAGCAAAGCTTACCTAGAGAAATAGTTAGTACATTAAGGTAAGTTATTTAGGTTAAAGAATAGTTGTAGCATAATGCTTAGCAAATTAGTATTAGATAGGTAATAGACACATAATAATAATATTTAACTATAGCATGTAACTAATTACAGCCTGTAACTAAGCGTAGCTAATACTAATCCCTAACACACTAATATAGCTAATGCTAATCTCTAACACACTAATATAGCTAATGCTAATCTCTAACACACTAATATAGCTAATGCTAATCTCTAAC